GTGTGTGTGTGTGTGTGTGTGTGTGTGTGTGTGTGTGTGTGTGTGTGCTTGTCCCTGATTGCAGACATCAGACAAATGCACACACACAAACACACAACCGAAATCCCAGTAGAGGGTTAGCACACATGAGAACAGGGCAATGGCTCACTTCCCCTTCTCTTTCTCTGTCTCGTTTGCACAACGTAACCTGTAGAAATCTAAGAACCGAATGAAATTTTACGCTTATTATCACTGTGGGCTTTTCCCGCTATTAGTTTTTCCAGAGTCCAGCATGCGAATCTACTCAAAGTAAATGGATAAGTGAGCGGGTTTTGCTGCCGTGAAGATTCGGGCCTGTAAAGGAGCCAGAGCATTTCTTCCCCAAACTTTTGTTGTCTGTGTCTTTTTTATTTTCCCCATAGGCTAGTTCTGTGTTGTTTTATGTACGTGTCCCTTGTTGTTTCTTCCATGTGGTTTCTTTGTCTTTCAGCCTCTTATCTCTTTGTTTCTTCCCTTGCTCTCCGTCTATTTTCTCTCCCATTCTCTCCCTCGACTTCCTGCTATCTCTCCCCCTCACTCACACCCTCACTCAATCTCTTTCTCTCCCCTCCCTCCCTCGCACTCACTCTCATTCCCTATCTCTCCCTCCTCCCCCTCCACTCCCCTTTCTCTCTATCTTTCTCATTCTCGCAGCACTCCCAGCTGCTGATGATTGATCAAGGTTTTCAAGGTTTGCCCTTTCCTGTTATTTAGTAGGAAATGTTTATGCACAGTCCTCAGTCTTACAGTCACAATTGGCACGTGTCCATAGTGTGTTTGTCTTGCATGCCCGCTCTTACTCATTCACGTCAGACACGCTTCTCCTCCGTATAATCCCCCGTGTTCAGTAGTTAAGGTGAGGTAAACTTCAGCCTGATAGCATACCTGTGTAATTATCAGGATCTTCTTTAGTGCCGACCACTTGAAAGCAGAACCTGTGCTCAGTCCGCAGGTACTCTGCCGCACTGTTTCTCACAACAGCCTGAAAGAAATCTGGAAGTTCAATAGTTAATGTCTTCCCTTGCTATTTTTCCTTTTCCTCACTCTCTCCGTCTCTCTATCTCCTTTCCTCTCTCCATTCCCTTTGCTCTCACCCCCTCCACCTCCTTTCCTCCTTCATTCTACACCCCCCCCTCCCTTTTTCTCTTTTCTCTTGCTGATGGACTCTTCTTTTTTATTTTCACACTCCCCCATCCCCTTTTTTTTCTTCTCTCTTTCTCTCTCTCTCTTTCCCTTTAGCACCCCCACACACCCGCTCTTCTCTTTCACTGCATTTTCTTTCAACCCTCCTTCTATCTTTCTTTTCATCCTCACCCCAACCCTTGTGTTTTTTCTCTTTCATTTATTTTTTTCTTTCTTTTGCCGTATCTTTTCTTATACCCCAGCCCCCCCCTCCTTCATCATCCAGTTCTTCATTCCCTTCTTCCTCCTTTTTTTGCTGCATTCTCTTTTTCCCTCCCCCACCCCAGCTCTCCTTCCTCTCTCCCTTTTTCTTTCTCACCCCCCTCGCTTCCTCCACTCAGCTTCACTCCCCCTCCTTATGCTTCTTTCTTCCTTATTCTTTCTCCCCCACGTCTATCTCCCTCCCTCCTTTCAAACTGCTTTTCTCTCCATTCTTTCTTTTTATTCTCTTTTGTCACTCTATTTCATCTGAATTTCTCAGACACTATACTTCGGGCTCTCTCAATAGTTAATTAGTTTGGATGCAAAAATAATGGCAGCTAACTACTCGCCGTACATTTGGAAAGTTACAATTTCAGTATTTCTCAGAGACTGTCCGTTGTGAAACAGTTTTTTTTCTAAAGACGCACCTCCACCCATAGCATCTCTGAGTGTTATTACAGTGTGTCGAGCGTCTATGCGCACAAACGTGTGTCATATATAAATACACATGTGACAGGTCAACACACACACAC